AATCTTTTTTATCCAGGCAATTCTACAATTTTTGGGTGGGGGTGCCATATGGAACTCTTTCCGATTAAAAAAAACAACATCAAATAGAATGGCCATAAATGAAAAACACCCACAGTTGTTGTAAAATGTGGGCTTCTAGTTTTTAAGTTATTAACATTCTTAACGTTAGTTTTAAAGAAGTATATGTAGAGCAGTATTTAAACATTTATCAAAAAATATTCTACACTTAAAGGACCTATAAATTATAATACAGTAATCTAAAGGAGCGAAAAGGAAAATGCAATCAAGAAAAAGAAACAAAATTTTCAGGAGTAAAGTAAGACCAATCTTTTAGATTTTAATGAAAACAATATCATTTAAGAATCCATATACATAACCTTTATCAAATGTTTTCCTTAAGTTTACATGATTATTAAAATTGATTAACTGTATCGGTCAGTGTGATAGTTTAACCTTTTTTTTTTCTTATCTTGGTTAAGTGTCTAAATCAGTGAATCTCAGACCAGTATTTTTTTACTTTTTGTATTATTATTACTATTACAATTGGTATTACCATCGAGTCGTGTCGGTAATAGACTATTTCGTCTGCAGAAAAATATCATACCCATCTTACATACAAAAAATATAAGCTGTTAGAGATATTCTGGTACTTACCGCCATTTTCCATAGTCTTGTTGTACAAATCCAAAGCATTATGCAGTATATAAGCCATATTGTTTTTTTCTTATGATGTTAAAAACTAGAAAATTGGAATACCCCCAAATGGCTTATTTTGCACACTACGTTCCCAGTTCCCCACCCAACTCTCTTGTAAAAGTTCAGATCCGGCGTTTCGGTTACTTGGATAAACGCAGCAGCACTGCTACCTATAAAACAATTATAATTTTAAGCATATTATAACAAATACCAGACAATTAATTATAAATTATTATAAAGCACCTATACAATTTCTGAAAATATTTCTAAAGAAACAAAATATAATGTTTAATAAGTACAAAAAGTCTAAATATTTTCCAGAGAGAAATGCCTCTAAAAATATTCAGTGCAATATTTTTTTCTATTCTTCGTCGAAAATTTTATTTTTCTTGTATAAGCTAGTTGTTAGGTTGTAAGTTTGAAACAAAGTCACATTGAACTATCTTTTCTGTCCACCGCGATGAATTGAACCTCGGATTTTAGTGTTTTCTCACTGGGGGTCTTTTTGTACAAGAAATACAGTTTTTAAACATACATAAACGATCAATGATCCCTAATACTTGAAAGGTAGTTTCTAAAAAACAGATTTCTTATTGTTATAAAGTGCATACTAGGGTAGTTTCTCTTGAGTTATTCTAGAATATGTATGTATTTGTTTGAATCAGCGCATTCATTAAAGAAACACAAATTTTATATTTCTAAATGTGTTTTTTTTGTTTTTTGTATATTTAATTTTCTTGTGTCAAGATGAATGAAATTATGCTATTAGACATATTTTTAGTGGCATTAACCTTCCATGTGGTAATATAACACAATCACACCATTCGTGTGCAAATGTGGGTCAAGTTTCCCTGATTTGTTAACAAATACAACAACATAAATTTAGACAATAATTTGGATTTAAATGTTAATCTATGCAATAATAAGTATTTTGTACATTATGTATAACTTTAAATAACATTCATTAAATGCGTAAAGATTTACTGTTAAAGATGTAGCTGAAATGTGTGACAGGGGAGACCGGGGCTAGTTGTTACAGGGGCAAGTTGATACAGTGCCTCTAGCTCTTGTTGAGATTAATAGACGGCGATAGTTTACGGACCATCGAACACGTGTTGCGCAAGCTTTGTTTTAATGGCGGCATGAATAAGATCAGTCACGAAATAAAAAAGGTATTGTTGCGTCAGCGAGGTCACGTGACTAGTATCACGCCACTTCTTTCTCGAACCTTCCTGAGATTACTAGATTGGGGGTAGTCTGGTATATATAAGATGGTGACAACGTGACGGAACAATGTGTAGGTAGTGAGTAATTGATCTGCAGTCAGAGAGTATTGTTGAAGTTAACGTTCGTTGTTATAGCGCGAATGTTGAAATTAAGTGTATCGTAAAGTTATATTCAGAAAGAATAAACCAGTTTTATTTAAGGAAGGACTTGTGTCGCTAAAGTTTAGTTGGAAAGAATTTACGGAAAAATTAATTAGCAAACGGAGACGTAACAGTATGTACATTTTCTGTTTATGCATACCTAAACTAAAAAAAATGTCTAGGAAATATCTATTTACTCTTGATACTGTTCTTATTAGTTGTAGAATTCGATAGTTAATACCTCTTAATATACGATAACATTGAGTTATGTTGTTTGACGATAAATTAGTATGGAGACATTGTTATACCCCATGTCGATATGGGGCATGTTGTTACAGCATGTAACAACATGCCCCAAAGTTCATCAAAAAGGTGTAATGCACATGAAATATTAATGAATTACATTTTTTTACAGATCAATTGCAATTATGATTCGCACGTATATTAGGAAGACTGATAGAGGAACTGTGTCAACATAGGTGTTTGAGCAGGCGGCTGATAGAGTTATTAATCATAATGAGTCATTAAGAAAAACTGCTTCTGATTTTAATATAAGTATAATTAATTACAGATTAATAATTTAATTTAAAAGTATTGTTCGTGCTCAGGTTTGTTATTATTTTACAAAAAGCAGTAAACAAAACTATCGTGATATATAGGCCTATTATAATTCAAATATCAACAAAAAAAAATTTATAAATATTTCTGTACAGATAACTTAATATTATAAAATCAAAATTGCGATTTTTAATATAGCCTATTTAACATGTGTGTGCATCTCGATCGGGAGTCCAGCGCGATACCAATGTACTTTTCAGACAGCCACTCGCTAACAAATTATGTCCTGCCCATTTAGGCCTATTATAGTGCATTCATAGATGTAAAACAATCTAAAATATTTAATATCTATGCTTTCAGGTAAATTTCTTGATGCCACAAAGATTTATCCAGAAAAAGCAAAAACGGAATGCAGAACCAAATGGGAAAAAAACTGATCTAAAAGCTGGATACTTAACACCCCGGCAAGTGTTCACAGAAACTCAAGAAAAGTTATTGGCAGATTACATAATCAAGGCATCCAAATTTTTTTATGAACTTTCTCCAAAAGATATCCGACAATTAGCCTACCAATTTGCAAACGAAAATAAAATAACAGCTCCCTTTAATTGGGCAGCATCAGGAATGGCTGGCCCGGACTGGTTTACCAAATTTATG